TGCGTCCCCTCTGGAGGCAAGCTCTGGGGGTGCTGGTCAGCCACAGCAGTTGCTGTGCATGCGGCTCTTTGAGCTTTCCTCTTTCAGAACGTCACAGTGCAGAAAGCAGTGGGGTGGTGGTGCGGGGAAGCGCAGTAGGAAGGTTTTGTTTGTTAGTGACCTGATCTGCTTGTTCCAGCCCCATCCCTGCAGTCCCGGCACTGGGGGTCCCCCCAGCAGAGGGAGGAGTCGCAGAGCCGAAGAGTGGAGGAGATGAACCAGCCTCCCACCCCTCTGGGTCTCCAAGAAACCATCGCAGAATCGGTCTACATTACCCGCCCTCTGCTCCACCGTATCCTGCCCCGGCTGTGTGCGGGCTCACGCCATACCCTGGGTGTCGGCAGAGGCTGCTGTGGGCTTGGTCCTGGTGCAGGGCAGTGCCATACCAGCCTTCTCTCAGGCAGGGTCCTTGGGACTGCTCCCTTCTCTTATGCCTTGATGGCTAGCCTCAGTCGCTGGAGTTGTGGGCACAAGTCCTCCAGCGCCTTCCCTGGGCCCCCCCAGCACTGCTTGAGTGTATTCTCCTGCACTTGGCAGAGCTTTGCTAGTAGCTGGGGGATCACTTGCCTGCGTGCCTCCTGTTAGGCATCTCTGGTTCTTTCTGTTCCTTGACTCTGTGTTCCTAGTGTTGAGTTTAGGAGTGTGGGGCCAGAGATCATGGAAACCCTGGCTCCTCTCAGCAGTCCTGGACATCTCGAGGTCAGTCTGAGGAAGAGTTTTTGCTGGTGCTTGAGGTCAGTGGTGGATGAGCATCACACTTCCCCAGTCCTGGGCAGGCCCTACTGAGAGAAATTCGCACAGGGGGTAGTGTTTAGCTGAGAGATATTGACACATTTAGGTATCTTCTGAAACATGTACAGTGCTTTCTGTTCTGAGCTGGTGCAGCGTGCTCTGTGTGGAGCTGAGAATGGAGGGCATTTAGAAACCCACTTTCTTTTCCCTGCTGGCTGCTCTAGCCATGAGTTATCTCTCTGCCCTTCTCCTTCCAGTCTGAGCTTGCTGAGTGATCTGAAAGACCTGAACAGGCGAGAGCGAGCAGAGCTGAGGCGACGAAGTATCCTACTGCTGTACTACCTGCTGAGATCTCCTTTCTATGACCGATACTCAGAGTAAGGGGCCCCTGCTGGGCTTTTGCTGAAAATTTCCCTTTTAACAGAAATAGTGTCAGGGGACTGGGTGAGTAGATCTGAAGAGGTCTTAGTGCCTGTGACCAGGTTAATCTGAGCCCTTGCATAGCAGCTGCCATTGCTGTTCATGCATTCAACAGCTGGGGCAGGAGGTGTCCTGCTGGATTTGTTCACACTCTCTCCCTTCCTAGGGGCAGGATCCTCCTCCTTCTGCGCTTGTTGGCTGATTACGTGCCTGGAGTTGGCTTTGTCACACGTAAGTGGGCTCCACTGCTATATCCCTGTTTCTGTTGGGTGGGGAAAAATCAGGGGAATTAGGCAGAATGTTTGTCAAATTCACCTCCCTCTGTTAAAAAGCCTTTTCGTGGAGTGATTCGTGGCAGTGATCTGGCATTAGATCAGCCTGGCATCGTGGGATTGTCCTTTCTTGGGGGAGGTCACAAAGCTGGCTAGCTCAGGAGCCGCTTCCTCCAGTTAGCAATTTCAGAGAGGCTTTGGAGCCTGCATTAAGCCATGTGCTACATAAGCGTTTTCACTCTACAGCAGTTGCTTCTGTGTCTGCACCTGCTTGTTATTGCTGAGTTGTCTTCCCTGTGCCACAGCAGCGTCGTCTTGACTCACTGCCTGCGGTTTTCCCCTTGCACATTGCAGACCCCCCCCCTTCCCACTGGAGCTTGGACATGCCAGCTCTGAGGGAGTGGTGTCCCACACCATGGCCATGCTAGCCATGTTTCACACCCCACTTGATCCTGCTCTGATCTCTGGCACTGCATCCCCAAGTTGGAAGAAAGTAACTGTTCTGTTCTTGGGTTCATCTGAGTTGTATAACTGGGGCTGTGGGATTGTTGGGTGTCATAACGAGAAGGGGGATACACCCTGTAAATTCTTGCAAATTCTTGCCTTTCTGTATGTGTGATCCCTCTGTTCTCTTGTTTCAGGGCCACTGATGGATTACTTGCCTGCTTGGCAGAAAATCTATTTCTATAACTGGGGCTGATGAGAAGAAGATGATTATTCTCTGCTGAGATCATGGCTGGACATTTCTAAGGAGGGCCAGCAGGCTAGGGGAGGGATGTTTGATAATATCTAATCTTCAGTTAAACCATCAATGAGAAGCTCCTGTTCTGCAGGGTGGGGAGGGGGGTGTATGCAATTTTTTTAACAGATCTATATGTGAATGGTGGACACTACATGTGTGGAGGGACCCTGGCCACCTCTTTCTCTGGACCGGTCTGTGGCTGCAGTGACGGTGATGGGACAGCCCCTTTTTTTTAAGCACTTGGTTTCTTTCCTTTTTTACAGCTGCACTATAATAAAGCCAGGCAGCAGTTTTTTGGAGAACGTTGTCTCCCACCTCACGGCGCTGAGGTTGACCTGCAGCCTCCTTGTGTTGGCCATGCGTGGCCAATCTGCTTGGAGCGGGATTGTCTGCCAAATAAACTGACTGAACGGAAAGAACCGAGCTGAAGAACCTCTCCCTCTTTGCATGGGCTCCCCCCATGTCTGGGTGCCAGCAGGTCTGTCTCTGTCAGTGTGTAGGAGCTTTTGCAGTTGTGTACCCTGGGATATGCTGTGTCTCAGAAGCCTTTTGCTCTGGCCTGTGTCAGGCACGGCTCCACACCTTGCCCAGCCAAGGACTGTAGCCTGTGTAACTGGTTCCTGGTTCGGACCCCAGTTTCCTGGGGTTCCCTGGGGGTACAGAGAGCTGCAGGCTGCTCTCCAAGCACTTAATGTATGCTAAAAGGGTTTGCAGAATGGCTGCCAGCCAGTGCGCAGGGGCCTGGCCAAGGGCGGAGAAGAAAAAGGAAGAGATTTATTCAGCAAATACTGCTGTGCCACACTAAATAAAGAGCCCGGGACAGCCCTGGCCCCCCCAGTGGGCCACTGCAGTTGGAGACCACAGGGCTTTGACAGCCCAGGACCAGCACCTTACAGAGCAGGAGGGGTGGGGAGCAGCTCCTTGGCAAGGGCCTGCCTCCTGCCCAAGCCAGCTGGTATCCAGGGCCACTGCGGTGGCTCCTTTGTGACCTCGCTGTGGAGCTGGTGTCAGGACGTGCCATGCGGTGCTGGCTCCTGCTGCTCGCCCTGCTGCTGCGGGCAGCCCTCCCACGGCCCCTGCCCCAGAGGTGATGGCTCTTCCCTCTTCTTCCTCCTCCTCCTCCCTTTCCCTGCCCTGGTACCTGCAGAGGTACCCTAGGCTCCTGGCACCAAGCCCTGCGAGCTGGCTGGGCTGAGTGACGACAAGTGGCACGTGGGAGCTCTTGTGCCAGTGTGGGCAAGCGCCGCAGGGTCTTGTCTCACACCTGTCCCTGGTTTCCCCCTGCAGCAGCAGCTACTCAGTGCCCGAGGACTTCTCTGCTCCCCTGGAGCTTCCACAGCAGCATTTTGGCCTGGTGGATGGGACAGCGCTCTCCTTGTCCCTCCCAACCCCCTTTTCCGTGCCCTCACCCCTCCAGGTGGGTGGTGGTCCCCAGCCCCGGGCTGAGCCCAGCCTCTCCACTCTACCTGCAGATTACGGCATCAGACCCAAGCAGCCACACTTCAGGACCCAGGTGGCCCGAGAGCGTCCTGAGGGGCTGCGCAGAGCTGGCAAAAGCAAACGTGACGAGTTTGACTTGGAGTACTACTACGATACCCACCTGTGAGCCAGCGTGTCCCTGTGCCCACCACAGCCCGGCCTCGGGGACTGCAGGATGGAGTAGGTGTGGGGTGTAGGAATGGGGGGGTGTAAGGGTAAGCCCTGCCTTGGGGGGGACTGGAGCAGGTGACCTGCAAAGGTCCCTTCTGAGCATCATATGATGATCTCTGGGCTCCAGGGATTGCAGCCAGGGCCCTCGGACCAAACCTGGTCTTGAGCACCCTGGGCTAGTGGGAGGTGGCCCTGCCCATGGCAGGGGGGTTGGAACTCGATGATCTTTAAGATCCCTTCCAACCCAAACCATTCTGCGATTCTACAAAACCTGCGAAGCTCCAGCTCCTCGTGGTGTCCCGAGGGAAGAAATGAGCCAGGGCCCAAACCCACAGCGGTGGGACGCAAGCAGCACAGCAGCCCTCCTCCATGAACCATCCGATTTAATAGTTGTTGCCATCACAGCAGATCCAGCTGAAGCACAGCGACTGCTGGCTGCGGGGATGGGGAGAGTTCTTATACCTCCCCTGTGCTCCGCATGGCTCCGTGCCAGCGCTAGCCCTTCCCTGCCCCTGCCTCTGCCTGCCCCCCAGCTGTGGGGAGAGGGGGAAATGGGCAGAGGAAGGCTCCCCTCCCAAGGGTAGTTACTGCAGGGAGGTATGGAGCGGATTTTTGTCTCTCCCCAGGGCATGGATACAAGAGGGTAGGGGGTGGATGGGGGCAGAAGCAGGGGTGACCTGCCTCAGCCCATCCTGGCACTGGTTCTGGCAGAGGAGATACTGGGGCACCCTCTGCCATCCCTGCGCCACATCCTTGTCCCCAGGGCCTGTCAGGGAGGCAATGCCTGCTGTAGCTGCTGTGTGTCTTCATACTGCGAGAGTCCGACTCTGCCACTGCGTTAAAAGTCACCCCAGAGGGATGTGACAGGAAGCTGGGCCATGGTCACAAGGAGGAGATGCTGCAACCCCAGCCTGCAGCGGGAAAGGGCCCGAGCGTGCTGCTGCCCACCCCTCCACTGCTCCCAGGCAGGACCCCCAGCGGGTGCTTCTCCAATAGAATCAACTAAGAGTATTTTGTACATTAAACACAATTTGTCCAGCCCTCCCCCCTCCCATCCCCTACCCCAGCCCCAGCCCGAGGAAGGGGAGTCACGAAAAGAGGCGGCGCTCCATGCCCCCAGCCCGCTCCTCCTCCGGGCTCAAAGCAGCTCTTGTCCATGCACGACCCGGGGAAGGGGTGAGACCGCAGCCCTGGCTGTGAAGGAGGGGCCTGGGCCAGCCCCTACTCCAGGTAGATGTCCTCCGTGGGGCACGTGTACTCCACATACTCCTTGTAGAATTGCTGGAAAGCCCTCCTGCAACACAGCACCAGTCAAAGCTGAGCAGCATCCTCCTTGCCAGGCATTTACAGAGCCCTGCTCCCCTTCTCACCCTCGTTCCGCCCCTCCAGCCCCCTCAGCCCCTCCTGCATT